CGTGCACTAGGTCACATGCATTGTGCCTGATCAAGCAGATAGAGCCACACATTTAACTCTGGATTCGCTCTTCCGAAGGATGTTATCCTTACGGATAGAATTTAGTGATGTACCTCCAGAGTTATTCTGGAAGGCAGTAACCTGGTATATGTTCCTGTCCCATTACAGGGTCTATCCAGGAGTCTTATCCATGGGGAAGTTGTTTCTGAATGTGTTTACCAGTGGTACAAATAAATAAATAAATATCACAGAATTACCCTCCCATGTTGTGTGCTAGTTAGATCCCATTGTATGGTGCCATGTAGGCGTCAGGAAAATGGAAAATTGTATACTTACCTATCGGTAATTTTCTTTTCCTGACGCCAATACATGGCGGCATACAGGACCCTCCCATGGCTTTCGCATTGAGTACTTGTTACGAGAATGGTGGCCTTGGGAGGTGGGCTTTAATTTATAGTATAACTGGTCCTGTGATTGGGCTGGGGGCGGAGCCATACTCATTGTATGCTGTCATGTATTGGCGTCAGGAAAGGAAAATTACCTATCGGTAAGTCACAGGGGACGGAAGAATTCACAATCCCTCCTTTCTTTTTTTAAACAAACCAAGATTACTCCCTCCCTCCCATACAATTCTCCATTTTCAATGGGGTCCATCCTAACATTCCTATAAGGGTCTGGTATTGTTTGGGAGGGGGAACCGCATGCTTTTTTTTTTCTATTTATGAATGTAATTTTTGCTGCAGCAGGTTCTATACATCGTACATATGTGCCACTTTACAGGCAGTTTAATATTTGAAGGAATTTTTCATTTTTATTGTTTCACTTTAAGTGATGTTAAAATCACTGCTGCTTTAAAAATTGTATTTTTATTTTAAAGAGTTTTTTTTTTCTTGATACATGTCCCCCAGGGCGGTACCAGAATCCCCATACTCTTTTTATGGCCAATAACTTACATATAAGCCTTCAAAATGGGGATATTTGATTTTCTGAGTTTTAGTCCCATAGACTTTCATTGAGTTTGAAGTTCGAGTTCAAACTTTTTCCATGTTCTAAAGTTTGAACTCGAACCAAACTCAGGTGTGTTCGGCCCATCACTACTGGTGATGTATAAAATGTCACATTTTGCAACTTTAGTCAAGAGATGTCAGTGAAAAATTGAACATATTAGCACTTTTCCAACTTTTAAACAGCAATTTTGAATGTGTGAATGCTTTACATGTTCAACTAAGAGTTTGTTAAAGCCCAATTCCAGGAATCAAACTAAGGATCAATTACACAGTTAAAAGTAGCTCAAGCTGCGATACTTGACTTTATTCTGAACTTTTCCATTGCAGTAGTTCTTTTTCACCACACAATGTTCTCACCCTTCAGGGCTGCAGGTCTCCCAGCATCTTCAATCCAGAAGACTGATGACATACTATGAATAGACTGGATCATGACCTGGCCCCTGGAGGGAGCGTCATCACAGTACCCTTCAGTCATAGTGTATTCCTGCAGAAAGCAGAGTTGAAGACTTCACGTCACAGCCTCTTTCCACATCCAAGAGGACCACCCAATTATGATTAAGATTGGGGGAATGTGTGTCACTAAACTGTCCAGAAGACATTGGGAAAGGTAGAAGTGTACTTAAAAATGCAGAACATTCAATGTGGGGGAGCCTCTTGGTGGGAGCCCTAAAATACAGAGCTGGACTTTGTAATCACACCTGTTACATTGCAAAAAGAAAAATTAGAAAAACTTCAGTTACAGAAGAGTTTATTACACACATCGAGATACAATCAACAAGGCTGTTTTACCTTGAAAGGAAATGCAGCTTTAGATATACCCCAAACTTCCCCATTCTTCAACTTGCTTATATTTAAGGCAATTTTACCTTCCAAAGAGTTACATAACATATAAGTGAATATGATGTGAGTAACAGATTACATTATGCAATACATTTACTGATGTTGCAGCCCTCATATTATAAGATATTACTATCAACTACTAGAAACTACTATCAATATTAAATATTGGCACATAAAACCATTTGCTTACAATTAATTTAATAATTGAATAACCCTATTTTAGCATATCATTTCATAAACAATGGAAAAAACACATTTTGGCTGGTCATCTTCTCTTACATCACTTTCCCTCATGCTTAGCCAATTTAGCATTGCTCAGCAAAATCTATCCCAGTACTTTTGGGGAATACACAAGTTGACAATTAATTAGAAATCAATGTTGTTGATTATTTAGTAGTCCATATGTGGAGTAAAACATAAGGTGACATATTTATTAATCAACTACAAACAAAATTAGGTGCAAAACCATCTTCTGAGTTAAAGTCTATGCAACTTTTTATTTTTATTGAAGATCCCTGCGCCTGCAAATCTGGGCAGCCAACTAAGAGTTTTGCAAAAGGCTTCAGAACTTGACTCTATAAATAAGAAAGATTTCCATCAAGCTGGGTCGGGTTTTCCTTTCAAACAGATGGCCAATAAAGAAGTGGTTAGAGTTTATTCTGCTGACGTATAACTTTAGAGCAGCTTACGGAAGTATTTATGCATCAATCGGTGACATTATATTAAATCTGTTCCAAAATCTTTCCTGATGCACCTGTAAGGCATCAGCTTGCTGTAAGACACAACTGATATATGGGGGGTGATTTACTAACCTAAACACACACACACACACCAGGTGTGTGATTTTCACACAGCAAAACGTATTTATCAACCAAAAAGTCTCTAAAAGCATATTTCCACTAATGCCATATATGGAAAAATCATGCACATGATGCATATATAATGCTGCTTCATAGTTTAGACAAAAATGGTTAGCTCATGCATTTACATTCCTGCATTCATCAACGCAAGCAACACAACATAGAGCTAATTTACCCAACATCACCTTGGAATTCCTTCAGGGCTTTGCACAACACACCTGCTGGGTGTGTACACACTACAAAGGTGTTTAGATTCCACCCATAGATCATGCTGGGAGGGAACACACTGCAGAGGTGTATACACGTTCGTGGTGTGTTTATAAGGTTAGTAAATCAACCCC